TTATTCCTGTGATGCAATGCTGAATTTTCAGCATCATTACTCCAGTCTTCAGTGTCGCATGATCCTTCAGAAATCCATTTATTTATTATTATCAATGTTGGAAACAGTTGTGCCGATTCATGTTTTTTGGAACCTGTGATACTTTTTTCAGGATTCTTTTATGAATATAAAATAAAAAACAGCATTTATTTAAAATGGAAATCTTGTGTTACAATATACACTACCGTTCAAAAGTTTGGAGTCAGTAAATGTTTTTCTTTCTTTTTTTGAAAGCAATGAATACTTTTATTCAGCAAGGATGTGTTAAATGGATAAAAAGTGATAGTAAAGACTAATTTTGTTAGAAAAGATTTTAATTTTAAATAAATGCTTTTCTTTTTAACTTTTGTTTCCACCATAAATCAGCATATTAGAATGATTTCTGAAGGATCATGTGACACTGAAGACTGGAGTAATGAGTAATGATTTTTACTACATATTTGCATAGAAGACAGCTAAATTGTATTCCATATTGTAACTTTATATATTTCACATATTACAGTTTACTGTATTTTTCATCATCAAAATTCTTCATGTATAAAAAAACAACAACAACAAAAAAACTCTTGTTAAGCAATTGAAAGGCACAATAAAAACAGTCCACATTTTGCACATTCCAAGTCTTCTAGAGCAGAGCAGAGCATTGTTATATGGACTGATATTATGGTAGGCATTTAACTTTAGTGATATTAAACTGTCCCTCTAAGAGATGTGTAAAAAATATTATTTACAAATTGCCATATAGGCTACACCAGGAAAGACAAATTATAATGTAAAGAAGTATGACGGTCATTCATTAATGTTACTGATAATAATTAAAAAAATATATTTCTGTATTGTGTTGTATTTGTATGTTAGTAAGTGGTGTTAAAAATAGCTCTAATGAGCTGGTGGGTTTATGGTGTGGTGGGCCGCTCTGTGCCAAAAAGTCCAGGGCTACTTTTTAGCCCCAGTCCGCCCCTGAATATGAGTCACAGTCTAATAATTCAATAGTGTATTAGTGTCAGACACTGTTTCTGTCTTGTGTTGTGTTTTGTTCCCCACGTGTTCCATGTTATGTTTATGCCCTTATTTGTTCTTCCTGTTCCTGTTCCCTGATTAGGTTAATTTGTCCCAGGTGTTTCCTATGTTTATTATGTCATTATTTACAGGTGTTCCCCATTTAGTTCAGAGTACTTAAGCCCTGTGTTTTTCATTGTTTGGTCGTCCGGTATTGAATGTCTGTATGTGTATACCTCTCCTGCTACGTGTGTTTTCCTGGTTCCCTTGATGTCATTACAATCTCATTGTTGATGTACTCCTCGTCTCCTCGTTCCTCGCTCCGCGCTCCCTCACAGTAGCAACGTGACAGAATACCGGACCAAAACAGTAAGTGGTGCCACTTCTCTCTGTGTTTGTTTTTCGTTTTGAAAAGTCTATTGTTTTCCTGTTTGTTTCCCCCCGAGATCATGGAAATCGCCGCTCGTTTCTCCGCCTTTATTCCTGTGATGCAATGCTGAATTTTCAGCATCATTACTCCAGTCTTCAGTGTCGCATGATCCTTCAGAAATCCATTTATTTATTATTATCAATGTTGGAAACAGTTGTGCCGATTCATGTTTTTTGGAACCTGTGATACTTTTTTCAGGATTCTTTTATGAATATAAAATAAAAAACAGCATTTATTTAAAATGGAAATCTTGTGTTACAATATACACTACCGTTCAAAAGTTTGGAGTCAGTAAATGTTTTTCTTTCTTTTTTTGAAAGCAATGAATACTTTTATTCAGCAAGGATGTGTTAAATGGATAAAAAGTGATAGTAAAGACTAATTTTGTTAGAAAAGATTTTAATTTTAAATAAATGCTTTTCTTTTTAACTTTTTATTCATAAAAGAATAAAAAAAAAAGTATGTTTCCAAAAAAAAAAAAAAAACAACAAAAAAACATGAAGCAGCACAACTGTTTCCACCACTGATAATAAATCAGCATATTAGAATGATTTCTGAAGGATCATGTGACACTGAAGACTGGAGTAATGATGTTGAAAATTCAGCTTTGATCACAGAAATTAATTATATTTTAAAGTATATTAAAACAGAAAACCAACATTAGAAATTTAAATATCTCACAATATTAAAGTTTTTTCTGTATTTTTGATCAAATAAATACAGCCTTGATGAGCACAAGAGACTCCATTACATACATGCATACATATATACATACATATAATTGGTGAACAAAGATATAAGGTGAACACCTTTTACCTCCATACCTCTGGTACTGTAACACCCTAACCAAATAGCACAGGGCTGGTACTAGTGAGGAAGTACTTTTTCATGCAGAGATTAACGTCACACCCATGAGAGGTCATAAAAATCAGATATAACAGCAAAAATAAAAACTCTGAAATTATCAACTACAGCATGATTTCCAAGGAACATGTTCAAAGGTGCAATAGGTGATTGTCTTCAGAAACATTTATTGTTATGATGGTTGAAAGACTCTTCACATCCCGATAGCAATCATTAAGTTAAGTGGTCTAAATGTATTTATCTGTATTTATATATTCTGTGGAAGGCGTAGGATCAAGAAATGTTCGTCCTTTCCTACCTGCCTGTCAACGTATGTATTAGCATACCTCTGCGCACCCGGTTCGCGCAGACACGATACATCATCAGCACGTTCACGTACGCTGTGCAGACAGAGCAAGAATGGCAGGCAAACATCAACAACCCGATCTTCCTTCCTTACAGTACTTTTACTAACTGTACTATGAAGTTTACTCACCGGTGAATAACACCTGATGTATTGTAGTAATGTTGTTTCTGGTCGTCTGATCTGTGTGCATTTATGCGTTCAGGGGGCGTGGCTTTGGACGGCGATTGCAGGGAGGGTGGGACGTTTGCGTTCAGTGCTATCAGGCTAAAGTTAGCATTTTCCAAGATCTCCTACTGCACCTTTAATATTGTTTAGCATTTCATAACACTAAATAGCTTATAAGAATTTCACTCCTCTAGTCAAAGTAAAATTTAACCAAACAATTTGTCAAATAGACATTGATAACTTGTACTCAAACTTGTAGTCAACCACGCCTACCTAAAACGGCTCGATCTAACACGCCCCCACATGTCTACGTCATGATGTGGGAAGATTTGCATAACACCACCCAAATGTTCACACAAAGAAAGAAGGCGTAACTTTGATTCTCGCTGTAGTATTGTTGCCGCCGCCATGTTGTGGAGACGCTGTGTGTTTCGTTATGAAAGAATACACAAAATAATGTTCTTTTTAGCAATGTCATATGACCCCTTTAAAGAAAGGGGTCATATGACTAAAATTTTAGACCTTTGCTAAAAATATATCAGTTTCTACAAAAATATTTAGCAGAACACCTGTTTTAACCCGTTTAACACCCGATAATAATAAATGTTTGTTGAGCAGCAAATAAGCATATTAGAATGACTTCTGATTTCTGAATGATCATGTGACACTGAAGACTGGAGTAAAGGCTGCTGAAAATTCAGCTTTGCCAACAAAATGAATAAATGTATTCAAACAGAAATCAGTTATTTTAAATTGTTTTACTGTATATTTGATCAAATAAAGCTTAGGTAAGCATAAGAGATAAGAGAAAAATCTTGCCAACCCCAAACATTTGAATGGAAGTGTAAATTTTAATTTAAATAAAAAATTAATTATGAATAAATGAACATATTAACTTTATACATGGATTCTCTGGAAGCATTTTGCATAGTTAGCAGAAAATTTAACTCAACCAGAAGTGCCTTTTGCTTATTCACTTCTTCTTTGGTCAGCAACAAAAGCTTTGATGATTTTATAAAATCATGTCTCTTTTGCACCCCGGTTTTCATCTTCACATTTGTATACGTGTTTGGCAAGATGTTACATTTGGCATTTTCGGTCTTCATAGCCCGCCAGTTCCCATTTCCCTGCATCTCCATCATGGCCGCAGCTCCCATTTAAATGGATCCTGCAAACAAATAACTTGATCTCCCCTCCAAATCCTTTCTCCCCTGACTGAACACTCTAAAAAAGAGGTGCCCAAACTTGGTCCTGGAGGGCCGGTGTCCTGCAGAGTTTAGCTCCAGCTTGCCTCAACACACCTGCTTGGAAGTTTCTAGTATGCCTAGTAAGACCTTGATTAGCTGCTTCAGGTGTGTTTGATTAGGGTTGGAGCTAAACTCTGCA